TTTCATTAATTTGTCTTCCAAGGTACTTCTTAGAAGTTGTCAAATTTATTTCAAAAAAGATTTTTGTAATATGCTTTCCATATCCTTTTAAATTCTGTAAAATGTGTGGTTAAAAAAAAGAAAAAGAAATAATTGTTCCAGGTGGCCAGGGATTTAGCTCAGTGGTGCTGGACCTTCCTGGCAAGCGCAAGGTCTTGAGTTCGATCCCTGGTACTGGAAAAAAAGAATTGTTCCAGGAAGAATTAAACCAATATGTTGGGAAGAATTCAGTTATATAGAGAAAAAACACAAATGATCTTGGTATCCATGCATGTAGTTTTGGAAAGAATTTATTCTTTTAAAAATATGATATTACTACAGGGTAAAAAGTACTAATATGCACATAAAAATATATTTCTGTAAAATATTTTTTGTGTACAAATTATTAGTTTAGAAAAATACTGAGCACTTACCATGTTAGGCAGTATTCTGTGCACTAAGCTACTGGACTTGGTCTGTGTTTTGGATGTGTATATTTCAGTCTATTGTTGTTAACATCATTTTTGTTTCACTGGTTTCAGAAATGATCAACATTATTCCTTTGTTTTTAGTTTTAAGAATAGAAGTCCCGTGTTTAAACACTGAGAGTACCCATACTTTGGATTATAGAGAAATTTTAAAAAGAACTTACACAAAGAATATTATAGCTAACTAAAACATTGGAGAGCATTTACATTTAGGAATAAATAATATCAAATGGGTGTTGGTTCTAGAAATGAGAGAATTAGGTAAGACTAGTAATGAGCATAATATACACAGTCCCTGACTCAACAGCTTTCAATTTTAAGATAGTGTACAAGTGATATGCATTTAATAGATACCTTACTTCTGATTTAGAATTTTGATGTTTCCACACTAGTGATATGCAGTTGGATACTCTCCACACTGGGTATCTCCCGGTCAGCCACATGACCACCAGGGATAACAACCTGTACTCTACAAGGCACTGTTTTGTTAAACTGTGATGTTCAGTAGGTTAAATGCATTAAATGTATTTTTGACTAACAGTATTTTCAGATTAACAGTGGTTTTATCAGAATATTGATACAGAAAAGTTTTAGATAACTTAATAGATTGAATACTAAGGTAGTTGTAGAAGCAAAATAAGTAAGGTGTTCTTTTAAGATTTGCTTTTCCTGTGACTCCTTGTTTAAGGTGAAGATTATCTGACTCTAACCAGTAACTTCATTAACCTAACAAAGTTACCAGGCCAGGGTGAATTTACAATGTATATGGCCTATCTTGTGTCTGTGACTTGTAAATAGAAACTGGAATTGTATTTACATATCAAAGACCACTAGGGATGAGATAATGGCTAAAAAGGATATAAAAAGGGAAAAGCTGAACAAAGGGGGTGCTGACCAGACTGGTTTCTGGTATTCCCGTCTGCTCGTGAGAAGAAATTTTATTATTTTATTTGAATTCTGTGTCTCTGTGTATTTCTTTCCGAGATTTCCACAACAATATAACCTCATTTAATTTGTTGAGGAACATCTGTATTTAAACAGATCATTTTTGTAGCTTTCCTGGTTATGCATACCTTAGTTTCAAATTAGAAACGCTTTCTATGGCTCTAAAAAGCATGTATCTTTGTAAAAAGGCATTTGTTAAATTATTGACTGGGGACTCAGGAAAATAGGATGCCAAAGAAAAGGAAAGTTTTAATACATGTCTATCTAGGATGTTTTCTATTAAAACACTTGTTTGTTTGTTTGCTATGCTCCTGTTCTGATTTTGATTTCCTTGTCTGATAGATAAGGAAAAATTTTACTTCAGTCCATCTTTCTTATGTGGAATTGAAACACATGGGTCAGCAGCACCTGGGGCGGTACCCTGTGCATTTTCACCTGTGTGGAGACGTGGATTCTAGAGGGGGGTACAGACACCCAACATTTGTGGATGGCCTGTCTATTCATCACAGCTTCTCGAGGTGCATCACAGTGCATGGGACTGATGGCTTGCTGGTAAGTAGCACCGTATTCTGACAGCATGTGTCATTGGTCATAGAAATGTTAGCTCCCCTTAAGTCTCATAACTTCGCAAGTTTGTGTAAGCTGTTTCATCACATGCCTTACTGTAACCCACTCTTACTGAGAATTCTGCTATTTTTCTGTCTGTAGGAAGCCTCCAGTTTTTTACCATGCAAAATATTCTCCTCAAGGGGAAATGAGCCCTGGCATTTGACTTTGCCCATTCTGGGAAGATTAAAAACTTCTTTTTGCACTTGTACCAAGTGTACTAAATTGAGAAGCACTTGTCACTGAAATCTCAATCAATCTTGTTACCAGTGACACTGTACACTTGTATTTCTGCAGATAAAAGATACCATTGGATTCGACACACTAGGTCACTGTTTCTTTTTGGAAGATGGTGTTGAACAAAGGAATACTTTGTTCCATAATCTTGGGCTGCTCACCAAGCCAGGCATTCTCCTCCCCACGGATAGGAACAACTCCATGTGCACCACCATACGAGACAAAGTATTTGGAAATTATGTCCCTGTGCCTGCCACTGACTGTATGTGAGTAATTGGCTGAGAGAGAATTCATGTGATTGATGGTCAAGACCCTTGCCTTTTGGGAAAAATGTTTTTGGGGAAGTTTTTAGCGGGCAGGATTTTATGAAGAATGTTTAAATCACCTTTGAAAATGCCTTGCAGGGCAATTTCAACTTTCTGGATTGCTCATCCCAACAATAATCTGATTAATAATGCAGCTGCAGGCTCACAGGTAAATAATACTAAAGTGTTTTCTAATTTGTTTTTTGTATTATTAGTGTCCATAAATGTTCTGGTTTATATGGGTGTGACGTTATCTGTGCCAGTGCAACCCAAGCATGGCATTGTTTTTAGTGCTGCTTGTTTAGTTAAGAACAGGAGATGGCTGGGTGGTTCTTCTATTTCTTTTAAATCTTTCATACCATTTAGTATCTATGAGTCCATTACGACAGATGACACATGGAAGAAAAGAGTGCGCTACCTCTAGGATTATGTCATCTCCAGAGTTATTTTTTACTGTATTCTGGCTTTTCATATTTAATCCTGTTTGGCGAGGTATCTGATCATTTCAGTTTCTGGTACTGATGAACAAAGGAAGCCTTTGCTTTTCCTTAGGCAAGTGGATTAGTCTATAGGGTGCTGTGTTAACTGTCACTATGGTCAAGGGGCACATCTTTGTGCTAAATGTAGGGATTGTGTACGTTTAGGGATTTCATCTTGATAAAGCAGCTGAAAACACAGCTCTGTGCCATGAGTGAACTGTGCGCCTTGAGTTGTTTTACACACACGCACGCGCGCGCACAAATAATTTTTAAGAGAATGAATGGAATATTTTTAAATGGTAGAAATATCTTCTGGGTAAATCTGAAGAAACTTACATTTAATTGAGTATGATTGAGAACTCCTAATTTATACTACAAATGAATCCTTTGAGACATTATACTATTAAGATTGTAAATGTAGTGAAAACCGCAGTACAGAAATTGCTACAATACATAAATGTTCATGTGTTTACATCATAAGTATTTAAAATGTGTAAATGGAAAGAAGTATCTAGCATCATTTCTAAGAACTAAGTGAAAGATTAGTTGAAGGAAGTGTTTCTTTGAGATAACAAGGATAATGGCTAAAGTCACTGCTGTGATTTTCCTTAAAAATATAAAATGTAGTCTGAAGGTCCTTGTCATTTTAAGATTCTTATTTCACAGGGCAGAGATCTGGACACTGAATCAGTTCAGGTTTTCATTCTTCATTTTCATCAAGTATCTGTTGCGTTTGGATGGGGTTAATACTGGGCGTTTCTGAGTGGAAGGTGATGACTGAGGTAGTTGTGCACCTCACTCCTGCCGTCTTCTCGTCTTCTGATCTTGTTGCATTGTGAGTCAGCAGCCAGAGAGCAAAGCTTCCCCTCAGCTCTTTTCTGGAGTCGGGGTTTGAAGGGTAAAGCACATTACAAATAGTCTATGAAAATGTAAGCTGAGATTGCCAGGTGCCCTTCCCGGGGGCTCAGGTGAGACGCATGAAAGCATCTCAAATATTTTTTGTGTTTTTATTCTGTGAATTTTTTCTTTCTTCTCTAAAGCTCCTGTTCCGGGAAAGCTAGTGTTTGACAGGGCTTTCCTCCCAACGTCAATCAGGTTGTTTCTTCATTGCCTTTTCCAGAGCTCCTTTACCTGTTTTGACATCATAGTGTTTGACAGGAAACAGCTGCTACCTGCTTGTGCCCCTGCCCCCCCAACTCCAGGGCATCCCAGGAGGATCCACTCCATCCTCAGCTTATAGGAATGTGGCGTGGAGCCTTCTCACTAGCCCTTTAAGTCTTCTGTTTGTGGAGGTGGCAAACATTTTTCAGAGTAGTTCGTTTTATTAAGACCCATCTATAAACTTTTGTTGTGAAAAAATGTTAAATATTCCATTCTTTTGGCGTGTAGGTGTGTATATGCTTTCCACGGTGCATCCTTCCTCTATCTTCCCTAAAGGACTTGTTTGTTAACAACTAGTATGATACCTACTACATGCATCTTAGTTACCTGTGTATTCAATGCTAGACTCTAAATTGTTTAAAAATGGTAGTGTACACCCAGCACGTAATGGGCACTAAATAAATGTGTGATGAATTTGAATTAAGGGTATCCTTTTACAGTGTGTGTTTCGGTTTTGACAGCCTGTTTAATCAAAGTCCCATAATCCTTTACATTGAAGTTTTCCTTTACATTGGGCTGGTTTTTAATTCAGTTGAAAAAGAAATTAGCACAGAGATTGAGAACATTCATTTCTATTTTCATGTTTTATTTGGAGTGTTAAAAAATTTTTAAACTGTTCTGCTCCTGTCAGGGGCAGTAATACTGAAACTGAGCAGACAGGGTCCAGACTGAGACAACATACTGATTCATGCATGTGGTGGTTGGTTTTTTTTTCCCCCTTTGGCAAAAATTTACCTCAGGACAGGAAACCCATTGGAGTAGTTTGAAAGAAGTCAGTGAGCTCTACTTGGTGGTGGACAGTTGTTTAATAGGCATGACTCATCTATTGATCAGATTTGGAGGTAAACAGACCAGAACCACATTGCCTAAAGGCTTTGCTGTCCCAGTCACATGGAAGGCTTATTTGGTTTTCATTCTGTATAACATTTTAAAGTAGATAATGATGGGAAAGTTGTTTTGAAAGTAAATTTTGCTATAAGTCAATCACTTTTTTTGTCCAGTCCAAACAACATTAAGTTTGCTTTTTAAAAATAATGCATGATATAAGTGCCTCAAGGATGCTAGATGTGTGTGCAACTTCTGAATCTTTGAAAATTTTGTTTTATGAAGATTAAACTTGCTTGCAAAGCAGTTATTTTTGAGGGTGTTTCACAGAGTGGCTTTATAATCTAGGCTTTTAATAATCTTGTCTTTTCATTATAGGATGCAGGAATATGGTATTTATTCCACAAAGAGCCTACAGGGGAATCCAGTGGATTACAGCTCTTAGCAAAACCAGAGCTCACTCCACTGGGTATATTTTATAACAACAGAGTCCATTCAAGTTTTAAGGTAGGTTTCTAAATTTTAAGAATCAGTACATATGATTTACAGGATTTAAAGGATGGACTGTTGTTACTATCTTTTAGTCACTTCTGTGCCGGTACAAAAAACATTCCAGACTAGGTAATCTGTAATGAAAAGAAACATATTTGGCTCTTGATTCGGAACCCTGAGAAGCCCAAAATTGAGGGTCCAACATTTGTTGAAGGCCTTGCTGCATCAATCCATAGTGCCAGAGGAAAAGTGAGGGCATGAGAACGAATAGGCATGAATGCCCATTCTCAGGATCTTTTAAGATAAGCATGAATCTGTTCCTGAGGGTGGGGCTCTCATGACCTAAAAACCTCCTTAGGCTTCACTTCCAACACTGTTGTTTTGGGGGCTAAGTTTCCAACACAGGCATTTTGGGGGGTATTTTCAAACCGTACCAGATTACAGCTGAGAAACAGCAGTTTTGATAGAACTTGTCACCAGAGCATACTTTGTGATTAGAAAAGAAAAAAAAGAAAGGACAGCAATCCTTCCATATTCAGGGGTGTACATACAGCATCCCCTTAATGCACACAGTTAATCACAACACACGTGTGCACCTGTGATCTGATTGAGTCATGGATTTTTGTCGATGTGATCTCCTCTGCTCTCTTGTCCCTCCCCACACTCACACTTTCTTTGTAATCTCTGATGTCATCTTGTGTTTCCAGAGATGTGTACACATTAGCTAATCTACTTTGAGGTTTTGGATACATACTTCTCTTTTCTCTATTCCCAGTGCTGGTCGGGTGTCCATTTGGGCATTTAATGCTAGTTACATAAATAGTAAAATACTGCTTAAGAATATTTGATGGAATGATATATGAACCCATTCAGAAGCTTCAGTTTTCCTAATATTGGGCACTCAACCCTGTCCTTCCTGCTGATGAGTACATTGGTTCATTTTGTGCCTGGGGGCACTTGCATATTTTCATTGCATATGTAATGCCCAGGTCCTTGACCTTGGTGTGACTCATATCAGAGTTTAGTTAACACTTTCCACATATGCCACCCAGAGAATCTTTTCAAAACTTAAGTGTGTTATAATTTAAAGAGCTTAGAATCATTCGATGAAGATTTGAGAGAGGAAAAAAACCTTTGCTGTGACTTTTATGAGCTGAATAGTAAGGCTAATAAATATTGAAAGTAGCATTTCAAAGTGAAACTCCTCAATTAAAAAATTATAAATGATGTAAAAAGCACCTCATTCTAATTAATTTTTAGTGTCAAATACCACAATGACATGTGGTAATCTCTTGTTAATTATGAGAATCTAAATTGTATGACTGGATAATTAGGTTTTAATTTGTTAAATTTGAGAATAACTCTACAGGATGAAATAATAGTGAAAGGAAATTGTGTTAGTTACTTTTCTCTCATTGCTGAGACAGAATACCTAACACCTAAAGTTAAAGGGGAAGGGGTTTATTTGGCTTACAGTTTGTAGAGGTTTCAGTCCATAGTTGGCTGGCTCCAAGATAGTTATGGCAAACAGGGTGCCTGGTAGAGGAGAAACAATATGGCACACACGAGGTAGCAAAGGCAACAAGAGAGTTTAACAGCATCTTCCTGCCTCCTTTATCCCATCCAGACTACCAGGGTGAGGGCAGTGCCAAACCACTCACTCTTGAGTAGTGGTTTAGTAATCACGCGCCCTTAATCCCAGCATCACACATTCCAGATTCACCTACCTCTGGCCAAATGAGACTTTGGGGCGATACCCAGACCCACAACATAACAGAAATTGAACCATTGGAGTCCTCAAAAAGAAACCTGCCATCTTGCTGTCACTTGTACACACACACACACACACACACACGCACACGCACACACACGCGTGCGCACCCCTCCTATGGCTTCAGTTGCTGATGCATCCTGAATCTGTGTCTAGTCCAGGTCGGTCACATTTATTTGACTGCCTACTGAGTTCCATTTCAGTGTCTCAAGACAGACTTCAGTGTCTAATTATATTTTATATAACATATAATATATATAAATATATTCAAAATGAAAATCCTTCTTTTTAGGCCTGGCTCATTTTTATATGTCCGTTTCAGCAAATGAAACCACTCTAGTTACCCAAATTTAAAAAAAAAAAAAAGCTTCTCTTGCTCCCTTTCCCTCATCCCCAGTCACAAAGTAGTAACAATTCTGCCTAGTAAAAAGTTCTCACTCTGTCTAGTTTTTGCTGTTGCTACTGCCACAAATCTAAGTCATTTCATTGCTCTTTTGGATGGCCAAAATTATCTCCTATTTCACTTTTATCTTTTTTGCCCTCTTTCAGTTCATTATACACCTCTTAGCTATCTATGATTTTTTTCTCCTTAAAATGTAGCCGGTTGCAATGTCATTATTAAATTCCTGATCTTCTGACTCTTACACCATATCAGCCCTTTATGATCTGATGTCTTCTCTTCTTTAGCCTTCTTCACATTTCTTCCCTTTGTGCATTTTCATTAGTGCACCGAGGATTTTTTTTCTTGTATAGTCCATGCTGTCTCTCATTTCTGAACTTTTGTACAAACTGTTCCCTTAGTCCTTTCCTCTAAGATCTTCACCTGCTTCCCACCCACCCCAGCCCATTCTCTTGGTTGGTTAATTCCTTGCCAGCCTGTGGGTTTCAGCCTTGTGAGGGGTCACTGCTGTTAGGCAACAGTCTGTGAATCCCTGTCGCCCAGGAAAAAGGCCTCATCTGGGTGCCTCTCTTTATCATTTGCTTATCACATAGTACTGCAGTTATTTAACTGATGGCTTCCTGATAGTGTTTGTATCAGTAGCAGCATGAATGTGTTTTGTTTGTTAATCATTGTATAAAGCTTCAAGCAGGTACTAAGTTACTTGCGGAGTGGCTGAATGAGAGTAATTATAAAAATATCCAGGATACCTTTTTTTGAGTAGAAGTGATAATTTAAAACTTACTTTTTGACTCATTTTTATGTATTTCAGGCTGGCTTGTTTATTGACAAAGGTGTCAAAACCACCAACTCCAGTGCCACCGACCCAAGAGAATACCTCTGCTTGGATAACAGTGCAAGGTGCAGCTGCTCTTTAACATTGCATTCAGCTCTTGTCTTGCCAGAATAGAACTTTCGAGTCAAGCACACTGTGTTCTTTTCTCTAGTAACATGTTTAGAATGAAGTTTTAAACATTTGTAGAAGGGTTTTGGAAAAACATTCTGCTGTCCCTGGTCCTGATGCAGGGCCTTTATCGTATTGAAATGCCAGAGAAGTTGGTACTTCTCTCCCTTCTCAAAGTGGGAGATTGTTGTTAGAAGGAGTTACAGAAAGAGAAAGAAAAAGGAAAGAGAGGTATTAAGAAGGATTTCAGATTTGGAGAAGAGTATGACTCATTGAAAAAACATGTTAAACTAGGTTGTGGTAGTCTGAGCCTTGAAAACCAAAGCATATAGAATTTATGCTTAGTGGTCAAGATGGAACATTTTGTTGACTCTATTTCAAAGGAAAAGATCCTCAGTTTGATGATCAAGCTGGTTCTGGTTCAGTCATTTGTAGCCTCAGATTCAAATCCTAGCCAGGCTCTTGGTTGCCTGTTCTTTATAACCACAAAATGCAGTTGGGAAATGGGTCAGCATTTCAGTAGAGTTCTCTTACAAGCTGTATGTGAGCCAAAGTAAATACAGTGTCTCAGATGGAAATAAAATGATCTGGAAAAGATGGCAATTCAAAGTCATATTCAGTAGAAATATTCAGTACATATTATTTTTTTATACTTCGGTTGATCGACCAGTTTATGGACCAGTTATTGGAGTAAAGCAGGGGCCATACTGTAGGTTGATGAATCTGACTTAAGTATGAGCCAGCATTCTTGTAATATATTACTGAGATGTGCGGTCAGGAGAAAACTGGGGAAAGGGTGGTAAATTACTCATCAGGATTCCTCAAAGGTCAAGTTAAGCATAAAATACTGTATAGAAATGATCAGGTAGCTTTTGAGAAGTCCAGAAACTGTGGGCATTATTTAAATAAAACTCAAGGTAATGGATACCTCATAGCTAATCAATATATGGGATAGAAAAATAGAAGAGATAAATGTAAGACAAAGGCGAAAATAAATAGAAGCAGATTATGAACCAAGAAAAGAATATTAGCTGACAAAATAAACCTGTGGTACAAGGTTGCTCCTGTTCTTTTTAGTTTTAAAAAAGTTTTATAATTTGTAGCATTAAGAATGTATAGTGCAAAGTTAGCATTGCAAGAAAAATCCTAGGCAGAATAAATTTGGCTCCTTTCATGACTTAAAAAATTATTTATATAATTTTTATAATGTGTTTGTATATATTTATACGAATAGGTGAGTAAATTTTAAGAATCCAGTGATATTTTAACTAGATGACAATGAAACGCTTTTATTCATGATAGTGTAAGGAGTTCTTTCCCAGATGTGTATATGGGATGTTATGAAAATGGTAATCTTTCCTCTGCACTCCATTATTTCTCTTGCCATTTTATAAATGCAAACATATTTTTAAGGAGTTGTACTCCATTTGGAAGTTGTTATTGAAAAGAACTGATTATAGAAAACGGGCAGCGAGACATTTGGCAGCTGTGTGTACCAATGTACGTAATATCCCCCAATATATTCATGCAATCTAGACATGAGCAAAAGTGATGGAACATTGAGAAGTAATAAACCAGCCTATGAATTAAACACCAGGCTCATGGAATCCAGAAAATATTCCGTCTGTTCATCAAAGAGGAACCTGACTCAACAGTTAATCAGATGAGGTTTTCCTTGTTTTTAGGATGTGAAATTATAGGAATCTAAAGGGCCTTAAAATGGGAGATTTCACCTCAAGAAACCATTTTGTCTGAAACTGGTAAATTTCATCTGAAGAAGTGAAAGCATTAGAACCAACTAGTATTGTTTAGAGCAGAGGATCACTAAGGGAGGGCCAGGAAATATGTTGAAATCACATAGATGATGATGAAAAATCCAGGGAAGTAGATGAAAATAAACGAGAGCAAAGCAAGTAGTTAATGATTGAATTATATAGATAGGAAAGTCAGAAAGCGGAGGCAGCCGTAACAGACAATCAGATGTTGTCTTTTGATTCCCCCCTCCCCCTCCTCTTCCCCTTCCTTCCCTCCCCCTTCTTCTTGTTCCACTCCCTTCCTTCCCCTCTCCTCCTCCTCTTCTCTCTTCTCCTTTTCTTTTTCACCTTTTGGAACACATACACTTTCTTTTCCAGAACTCTTCTATCTGCTTAATATTGTAAGTAGGTATTGGCTTAGATTTTTCCCCCCTTAGGTCAGAGCTAGCTAGGGTAAGTGTCCTGGGTCATGTAATGTAAGGATGGATATATGACTCTGTCCCCACTGCTACAGCCATGTTTATACCACCAACATAAAGAGCCTCCAGAATGGTCCTGGAGTCCATTTTCCAAGTAGGAGCCTGTGATCTGCTGAAAAAAAATGATAAGAAATGTGATCACATTCTGAGTCCATGCTTCATTAACTTCCCATTGCATTTCAGATGAAGAACCACACACTTACCTGACCCTTGCTGGCCTCTCTCTCCTATCTATCTCCCTTGCCTCTCTCACTCTCTGGCCAGCTTGCTTGGAGTAGAGTGCTGAGCTCATTCATGCATCAGGGCATGAGTGCTTGCTGGTCCTCCTGCAGAGTTGCTTCTCCCATCATGCACATTTAGTGAGCACCTAGTGTTCCAGCAAGTATGGTAGTAGCATTGTGCAAAGGATAATCCCAACTATATAGTTGCAAGATCTCAACGTGCTGAATTTAGTTTTGAAAAGCTTTGTTAAGGTGGTGGCTTTTTGGGATTATTTATTTGAGTTGTTACAGCAGACAGTTTTTGACACCAAGTTTTTGACTTTTACATTAAGTACATTATAAATGTCTTAGAGCAAGGAGAAAGAAAAGGCAATTCAGCTTTTATAATAAATAAGTCAATTAAACATAAGGTATTTAATTTTAGCCATTTCAAGCTATTGAATTGAGTTTTATCACTATATCTGAAGCATTTAACTAGCATACAACTCAAATAATATTACAATTCACTTATATAAATATTAATGTGGTAACTTATACAGTAAGTTTGTATCAGTAGTATGTAATTTAAGAACTTAGGCAGACATGTAGATTTCCTTGCTTGAGAGAGAGTGTGTATATGTTCTAATGGAAATGATGTTTGTGTTTATGTTTGGCAGTGTCACTTTGTAAGTCTGTTTTAAAAACTGAAGCTATGAAAGCAGTTCTCTGGATAGTCATGTGTAAATAAATGTAATGTTTATTTGAAATATAATAAGTTGTATATTAAGATTTTTTTTTCAGTTTGTTTGTTTTGGCCAAATTTAAATCCTCCTTTTTACTCTATAGCTTATAACTATGAAGAGTTAATTTCTATTACTTTTTATTCCTTTTTAATAAAACCTCTTTTTTTTTTTTAAACCTTAGATTTCGGCCTCATCGGGATGCAGACCCTGAGAAACCCCGTGTTGCTGCTGTAATCGACAGGCTGATTGCTTTTAAAAATAATGACCATGGGGCCTGGATCAGAGGAGGAGATATTATTGTTCAGAACTCAGCGTGGGTATTCGCTACAGCGTTACTGCCTGATAACAGTGATGTATTTGTTCTTAAGGATTTTTTTAAACATAGTAGAGGGCCAGGGATTTAGCTCAGTGGTTTCGCTGCCTGCTGCGCAAGTGCAAGGACCTGAGTTTGATCCCCGGTACCCAAAAAAAAATAATAAACCTAGTAGAATATGGTAAAGTAGAGTGGTGTTTCCTGGAGTCGTATATTATTAGTGGTGGTAACTGGCAGGACAAGCTCTGAGGAAGTACGCTAGAGTTAACAGACTGCAAATGTTTGGAATTGTCTCATTTTGGTGCTTTTATTGGAACTGAACTTGTCTAGTGACATGAGAGCTTTTGATGAGACTGAACAGAAACTTGGAATATAGCTTTTTATAATAAACATGGTTTGTGTCAGCACTAAATAATGATTCTGAAACTACCTGGTCAGTTTTTCTTCCTCTTGGCTATTCCTTAAAGTTTTTCTGATTTTCTTCCTTTGCCATTCAAAACAAAAGCTGTGTAACTCCACGTTAATAAATCTGTTGACTTTTATATCTTTCCATGACCTGAGGCAGGAAGCAGCTCACCTTTTTTCTCACTTGTGTGTCTTTAAGAGAGGCCTGATACATGTTGAGCTGAGATTGGTCTTGGTCTAGAAAAAAGATTTTTTGTTTTGGCACTAACCATTAGCTTCTTGACATTTCACCATCATCTTTGACTTTTTTCATCCAAAAAATAGATACTTTTTTTTTAATCTGTAGACGTAGCTACGGTGTCATCTAATTATTTTCTAAAAAATAATTATGAAATGTCTTAACTAACACTTATATACTACTTATTATGTTCTAGGCATTGTTCTAAATACTTGAAACTATTTAATGTGTTTAATCCTCTCAAGAATTATATAGAGAAGATTATATTATTATTTCAACTTACAAATGAGAAACTGGGCGAGAGAGGTTGAATAACTTTTACCCAGGGTCATACAGCTAATAATTGGCAAGACCAGGATTCGAATTAGATACCCTCACTGCATGGTTTGTGCTTTGTACCTTAGCTATTGGGAAGTTAAAGTTTTAGGTGGGTGGATTGGGACCTTCTAGATTTTATAATTAAATACTGAGAGAACTGCCTTTTATGTGATGTGGTAAATTAAAATGTTCTTTCATTCTCTTTTCTCTTACAGATTTGCAGATAATGGAATAGGACTGACCTTTGCCAGGTTTGTAATGGCTTAAAAATATGTATTTCATTATTTTAGAGATATCAAGTAAAATTATCTATGGTATTTTTAAGGGGGAATAACACACAGGAATATTTCATAATTTATTAGCATTTAAAAAATAGCACCCTCTTCTTGGTTCCACTAAAGGACCAGAAATACATTTTTATTGACTAATCAAATTCATACTGAGGGAGTAGCTGGAATTCCATAGAAAGGTAAGGCAATTATAATCTTTGCTTAGAAAAAAACCACTTGAGATTGAGACTAAAGGTCTTAAAAAGTAGAGGAAGAAAGAGAAGCACAAGGAGATTAAAAAACTAGTATTTTTCTTAGAAGGTACTTTATCAGTAATCTTTAAGAACTAAACTTATATTGTATATTTTTCTCTGGGTTCTTGTCCTTCCAATGGCCATGTTAAATGTTAAACATGCTTCTCATTTACTTGTATTCTGGGCTGTTTCATTCTCATTTGCAATATTCATGGTTGAGAATGATGTTATTGCTGTTAAATTTCATTTGTTTATATATAATTTGCAAGCCATAATTCATATGAGATATTTTTACAGTTTAAAAGCAGTTTCTGAGTGTGTGTCTAACATGCGCAAGGACTGTTTGATCCCCAGAACCTCCTTCCCACAAGCGGTTTATAAGGATTTGATAATGTGTGTTAGAAGAAGCTATTGGCTTTGTAGAAAAGTTTTAGCTTTTTAAGTTACAGCTTGCTTTCGTTTGGGGGTAAATTTAAATTTCCTAGGGAAGGGTGGCTAATGATTGTCCTGATTTTAACAGTGATGGAAGCTTCCCAAGTGATGAAGGTTCTAGCCAGGAAGTGTCTGAATCTCTCTTTGTTGGGGAGAGCAGGAATTACGGCTTCCATGGCGGTCAGAATAAGTATATGGGCATTGGAGGAATAGACCAGAAACCTCGCACATTACCTAGGAACAGGTAAGAGTTATTTAGGGTTGGACACCTAGCCCCCAATGCAGTTTCTGTAATAACCTTAGATTTGTTGGATTCTACTGTGACTCTTTCCTTATCACTACTACTAGTATTATTGTATTATCCCATCAGATTTTGTGCAATTATTAACCATTTCATAGATTCTGTTATCACTTTTGTAACAGAGGCCAATCTTGTTTCTTACATAAGAACTTGTATAAGCTGGTGATTTTTTTTTTTTCTTTTTTTTCCCCTTTCTTGAGACATAAAAAGGTGCCAAACCATAAACTATGACATTAGGTCAGTTTTCCCTCAATTTCTGATGTTGGGTTTTAGAAATAGGCACTGGAAAAAGGAAATTGCCTACTGAAGAGAGTCCTAGAAAATGAGCATTGATAGATGCCAAAGCTGACTCAAAAACCTCACCATGGCTGTGTAATTAACAGTGTTTGAACTGTTGGAGGAGGTGGTGTAGGGTTTTGGCATGTTTTCTGTCATCATAATCACAGTCATTAAACTAGTACTTAGCAGTAGAAAGATTCTTCAAAGCTTTTAAGGAACTATTAACTAATTAATCCGTACCTCAGTTTTGAGAGTCAGCTGGAGTTGTCCTCATTTTACTTAGATGAAAACCAAGGAGAGAAAAACTAAATCTTGTTCTAAAGACCTCACATCTGAGCCAATGCCATGATCCATCAAGGTTCAGCTCCTTGTTGAGCATGATGGTACACACCTGTGATCCCAGCACTCTGGGAGGCTGAGGCAGGAGGATCACAAGTTAGAGTCTACCCTGGGCAATTTAGCAATTTAACGAGACCTTGTTATAAAATATAAAATAAAAAAGGGCTAGCTGGGGATGTAGCTCTGTGTGAAGGTCCTGGGTTCAGTGGCTTGTACTGAAAAAAAAAGCACCTCCTCAATGCCATCTTTGGACACTGAGCTGGAACAAGACAGAGTAATGGGCAAACCGACTGTTAACTTCACTAGTTTTTGGTAGAGTTTCTTGTGCTTACACTGATGCTGTGGTTTTTTTCTGTTGTTATGGTGCTGGGTATTGAACCCAGGAGGGCTTGTACATGCTAGGCAAGTACTTGCTACTGAGTTACATCTCCAGTCCCAAATAAAGCACCTCAAGTGGAATAACATTTTCCTGGTGAAGTTTGGCTCACATATAAGTGTGAGGAAGCCAGAGCTGCATCTTCGGAGAGGCCAGCATCTATCCTAGATACAGTGCCTTTCTTCCCAAACAATTTATCGTATAACTATTCTTATTGCCTCCGTAACACTATCTGAAATTATCCTTTGATTTTTTTTTTTTGTTTGTTTGTCTTTCCCACTATAGTACATATCTTATTCCATCATGGATGTTGTCTTGGTTACCACAGGATCTTAAAATTTTGCCGAGTGCTTACAGGGCATGTAGCAGTATTTATAAAACAAATCAGTGCTGTTGAAAGAGCACACATGCATTGAACAAAATCTTGTATCTTTAACAGGACATTCCCAATTAGAGGCTTTCAGATATATGATGGGCCCATTCATCTCACCAGGAGCACTTTCAAAAAATACGTGCCAACTCCAGATAGATACAGCAGTGCGATTGGCTTCCTAATGAAGAATACCTGGCAGATAACCCCCAGGAATAACATTTCCCTGGTGAAGTTTGGACCACATGTAAGTATGTTCTTATGTTTCCTGTTGGTGACTAAGGTAAGAGAGGGAGGGACAGCACGTTTCCAAAGACCAAAATGCAATGGATTTGTACTGAGTCTTTATGATAGGGAAGAAAAATATATAACACAGGAACTTCTGATCTTGTGTACTCTGTCCTGTTGAGTTCAAGGTGTGAGCAGTGATCTCATGTATTTTTAGTATATGTGCTGCAGAAGCGAGCACAGTCTCATGTATTTTTGACACTTGAGTGATAACTTGAACAGGAAAATGCCTTGAAGTGATAATGCTAGGGGATTGTAGAGCTTCACAGGAACAAGAAGACACGTGATTTTTGTGAAACAGTGGACTAAACTGATAGGGTAGTGCTGTCTCCACTGAGAGATCTAGGTTCTTCTTGGTATTTTATTTATCTGAGACTGTTCTAGGGAATTAGAGGATAAAAGGTTGGGGATGAGGAAGAATACTAGGGCAGTGTGATAAAAACTGGGTACTGATACAAACTGTTGAATGGCTTCATGAAGATTGCAAAGAAGAATCAGAAATTACTGTTTACAGTGTAGCACTGCTACCAGCTGGGCTTGGTCAGGCCTGAGTCTGGGCCTTGTACTCTTTGGGTTTCTGGGTTCATTCACTCATCTGCAGCCAGGAACGTAAGAAAATAAGAAAAGCCCATAAAAATGGAAAAATTAGTTTATTTGTAATTTGGCCAAATTGGGAGGGCAGGTGGTGTATGTCTGTCCTGCATCCCAAACACACAGAAACATTCCAGTTTTTAGATGGGGTAGAACAAAAGCCAGGAAATGTCCATATGTAGATTTAGTGAAGCTTTAGCCTAGAGGGCTGAAAGAGTTGAATCCCCCAGCATCCATTGACAGCATGAGGGAACTTGGACAAACAGTTTATCTCTAATAAAAATTCTAAATTTTTAAAGATCCATTTTAAAGATGCCAACAGTAGTAGTTTTCTTAGCAGTTTCACCATCCTCCTCTTTCCCCATAATACACAGAACAATCTGATTATGTCCCTGTAAGCTGTAACTATCTTGCCAGTTCCAGGATGGCAGGGGCATGAAAGAGATGGCACCTCGGACTCCCTAGCTCCCTGCTCCCACGGGAAGCCACAAGTGGAAAGTAGCTCATAGTTCTTTCATTCACATCTAAATACAAACTCACTGCCCCGTTGAAAATAGAGCGTGAAAAGATCTCTCCAAGTAGGTATCTGTGGTTTTCTAGAAGAGCTGAGGGCCACAAATGAGCATTTCACCTTGTTTGGCTGGTTCTCTTTTGGGCTGTATAGGGTAGAACTAGACTAGTAGATGGCTTCCCACATCAATAGGGCAGTTTTTTGGTGTTTTTCAGTGCTGTGAATTGAACCCAGAGCTCTACCACTCTACCGCTGAGCTACATCCCCAGCTCTTTAGGGAGGATCTTAGATCACCTTTTCAGTATGGAGGCTGGCTGTATATTTGCTGCCCGTATGGACCTCCACGTACAGGATTTAGTGACCACAGCCATGGTTACACTGGAAAGCATTTGTGGTGGACATGCAATTGGGTTGTAGCAGGGGATGCTAGATGGCGGTAGTCCTCACTTTGTGATATTGTTGGTTTTCATTGCTGTCAGGTTTCTTTGAATGTCTTTTTTGGAAAGCCTGGTCCTTGGTTTGAAGATTGTGAGCTGGATGGTGATAAGAATTCCATATTCCATGACGTTGATGGTTCTGTAACGGGATACCAGGATGCTTACGTGGGCAGAATGGACAACTACCTGATCCGCCATCCGAGCTGTATCAATGTCACCAAGTGGAACGCAGTGATCTGCAGTGGCACTTACGCCCAGGTAGGCCCAGAAAGCAGTCTGATGCCTGAGCCCTACTGCTGCTGCCAGCACTGCTTCTGTGAAGAGGATGCTTCAGCTTCTTTCTCTTTGGTGCTTTCTCAAGTATGATTTTCTTAAAAAAAAAAAAAAAAAAAAAGAATTGTACTGAAAAGACTCCTTACCTCAAACCAGTTTTGAAACTGGAAAAGTGGGGCTGGGGATTTAGCTCAGTGGTTCCGGTGTCTGCCTCCCAAGCGCAAGGTCCTGAGTTCGATCCCTGGTACCAAAAAAGAAAGTGGAAAAGTGAGTTGCAGAAGGGTGAGGTGATTTGCTTTGAGTTAAGTATGGTTGGGGGGTAGCTGGTGCCAGAACCCATATTTCTTGACTCAGGTTTTTGTGCCACTCTTAGAGGGAATTTTATCTTTTGATTTCAGGGTGATTATGTCTACTCCATTAGGTAATCTGACTTTTGAGGCAGAAATTCAGTGGGTCACACAGAAAGCGAGATGTAGATGGTGCTGGGAATTGAAAATGAGTGGACAAGGGAGGAATGGAAGAAAATTCTTGTAATTATACTACAGAATGTCTATGATGATAATGAAGGAGGTGATAGAAACTAGGAAACGCCTCTTGGAAATTGTTAAGTAGCGTGTATTTACTAATGGATACCCAGTGTAAGCAGGTTGCAAAGTAGTGTACACAGTTGAGAACACAGACTGGGGAGCCAGGTTACCTAAATTACCTTGGTTACCTTGGTTACCTAGGTTACCTTGGGTTTATTATTTCCCAAAGGTGAGTTGGGCAAGTGAAAATTACACTGTGCATGTGCATAAGGACCATGCTAGTTTCTCTGCTGTGAGGCTGTGGTGATGCTAGGATGCACTAATAAGTGGAAAGCATTTAGTGTATGGTCTGACTCCTGCATGGTGCAGTGCTGGCTGCTGTGAGTGCTGTCTGAGAAGCAGGGCTGTATGTCTCAAAGGTGGCTTCAACAGTGAGATTTGGATGGTTAGAAGCAATTACACAATGGGTGCTTCAATTGCCCAGAATTTCAAAGGGAGCCGATTTCAGACAATAGGGTAAGGTTTCATATAGACTATCAAGGGAGACAAAAGGGTAAAGGAATGGGATGCTGGGAGCATGGAGAAGAGAATTAGAGGCAGGGCAGTGGATTCTCCAAGGGGCATTGGGCTCTGATAGCTCTGAAGGCGGGGAGGGAGCCTCTTTCATTGATTTGCTTCTAGGTGCTTTTTTGTAGTGTGAGCTCTTCCTGGGGAAGAACCAGTGCTGTGATCTTTCCCCTCCGCTGACCTCTGTTTAATTTCCTGTCAAGTGTGTGTTTGTGGGATTTTGCTTGTTGTTTCTCTGAGCCCCCAGAGTCTGACATAGTTGCTATGACCTTAGCTTTTTATTTTTTTGACAGTACTAGAGATTGAATCCAGGATCTTCACACTGAACCCTTTTTACTTTGAAATAGGGTTTCATTAAGTTTCCCAGGCTGGGCTCCAACTTGCAGTCCTCTTGCCTCAGCTTGCCCAAGTGCTGGGATGACAGGCGTGCACCACCACATTCGACTCCACCTTACCTTTCTATGACTGGAGCATTGCAGGGCAGATCTCATTACTGTCTGACTTTGAATCATGACTGTTGCACAATGTTATTCTTACATTTAAAAACTTTTTAAAAATGTTTAGATTCTTACCTATAAAAAAGACAAAGGACTCAGAAGGGATAAAGACTAGGCAGTGTTTCTTGTTTATTTTAATGAGGATAGCAGTTTCTTTGTTGAGTGATTTCTCATTCCCATGAGGAAAAAAAAAAGTATGATTGAGACCTGGAGAAACATGGAAGAAATAGCTACAGTAAAATAAGGAAGAAGAAAAGCGGTTTAAAATGTGATTTTTTTCTATTTATTTTATTCTTAATCAAATTATGTTTGCTCACCTATACTTAATAATCTGTGGACATTCTAGAATTAAGACTAAAGCAAAAACAAAAATAAAAAGCCTTTAGTGTTTATAGCTGCTGTTGTCATTGAATTTCTTGCCAACCATGTGTATTCATGGCATGTATCTGCCTATCTAAAAGTGCTAGATGCTCACTAGTGAAAACTTATTTTTAAATTATTAGTTATAAATTTGTCTATGAAATGCCTAGTGTAATAGCTCATAATTTTATAAATTATTGATTATATAATAATTATAACTTATAATTAACTATGAAGGCCTTTTTCATTTATTCAGCATTCATTAAATTCTTCAATCCTTTGGATTTCTAGTTATTTGAGATCTGAACCTATACTTTCTCCCTTACAAAGCAGAGTGGTAATTTTATTTTTATTTGTAGCTGGAGAAAGAAACAAGCTATCTGATACCTCTAGGAGACTGTGCATAGAAGAACCACCAGTCAGAAATGCTCTCCTGAGAATTTGTAACTTGGGCGGGAAGCCCAGACATGTAGCCATTTGCTGTTACTTAGAAATAACGTAGGCAAAAGTTGGAAGCAACTTGATCTCCAGATAGAGCAGCCATTATTCAGCTCCTTGTAAATGTCTTTAAATAGAGTATTTGCTCTTGGCCGACCTGAGGGATAAAGGTGCGCAGGAAGGAAGAGTGCAGCAGGGAGAATTAAGGTTACCCTGCTACCCTGCCTCATCCTCGGGCTGGAGGCTGGAGGTACATGTCTGTCTGCCTGCCTCGTTCTCGCACATTAAATATATGTTAAATATGAGTACATCAAGAAAATTATATATTGAAATATATACTATATATATCTAAGTGGAGATAATCAGTAGTATTAAAAGTATGTTTCCAGGGCCGGGGATTTAGCTCAGTGGTTCCGCCACCTGCCTCGCAAGCGCAGGCTCCCGAGTTTGATCCCCAGTACGAAAAAAAAAAGTATGTTTCCTATATGTATTTGAATCTTTAAGTGGTGTCAGTAGAGAAGATTATTAATCAAATATGAATGAGAGTAAAGAAGGCTTTCTGGCTCAAAGGACAAATTGAGGAGCCAATACCGACAAAAATCACAGAAATGACAGAAAATACAGAATGTGGATTAATTGTAAATATTCTTCAAATGTCTTACTGCATCTGAAGAATGTAGTTACTGGATGCTGGTGTAAATAGATAAAATTTGTTTAGCTATTTCAACTCTTACGCTCTTCCCTTCACTTCTTAATGTTATACTTTTATTTTCTGAGGTGTGTGTTTGGGGAAATAGTTTCGAGCCTCGTCCTTTGGGGGCTGCATTTGTGGGAGGTTTTGTTTTGACATAGAAAGTGGCTCAGACGCCACTGGAATAAATTCAGGACCTCACAATTTGTCTTAGCTTATTATGTTTTTCCAGTTGCTGCTGAATTCTTTGTAACTTTTTTGAATGGGTGAAAAACGTCTTTTTGGACTAAAGTAGATCGTGGAAAATTGAAAGCCAGAGGACTAAGATAGATCAATTTTCCATCTCTCGGTTTAGAGGAAAATCTCGATTTGACTAGAGGGTATCAGTGTTCACATTAATTTACTGTTTTTTTTGTATGTACATCCTTCAGATAGAGGGATTCCACTGACAGGCCATATAAACCACACGAGTTTTATATTCGGTGAACAAGCTGGCCTGTGATGATGGAACTGGTGATGAAGATCCTGGCTAGCAGAGTGCAGAGTCTGTTTTTACCGTGCCGCGTTTAAGCAGGCTGCATTGTAAGTGTGGCTTAGGATGTAGTTAGTGAACTGCTGCTCATGTAGTCTAGCACAGAGCATGGGACTTCTGTTTTCAAAGGAAGACCCTTGACTTCCTGCTGGGAAAGTTTGTTCGGCGATTTGAGCTCTTACTGTCTTTCCCTCACTCCTTCATTTTTTTTTTTTTTTTAAGGTGTATGTACAGACATGGAGCACTCAGAATCTTACTATGACCATCGTGCGAGATGAGTATCCATCCCATTGGATGGTGCTCCGGGGTATTAACCAAAGGGCCGCCTTTCCGCAGTACCAGCCTGTGATCATGCTGGAGAAGGGCTATACCATCCACTGGAATGGGCCGGCGCCCCGGATTACTTTCCTGTACCTCGTAAACTTCAACAAGTAGGCTCCTGTTACTGTCATTTCAAACATTTGAACAAATAGTGACGTAGTGGATAAAAAGTAACATTTTTAACATGTCTTAATGAAATCCTTTGTTTTGTGCAGTTAATATTTGCCAATAATTATGATTTTAAGAGGGGGTAAATAACATATTTCATTCTTAGAAAGAATGTCAATTTCATGTCCTTTACTCCTCTTGTGGAGAGGTGGACAGGATGTATGTTTTGTGTTCATGAATTAAGAGATTGTACAGATTGAGTCCTGTCATTTTAAAAGCATTTTTCTGTAGGGTGAAAGTATTATGTACAGAAAACTATTGAAAAGTAGGTCAGCGTCTGCTGAATGTTTTAATTCCCTCTAGTTGGGACAGGAAGAAGTTTTATATGGTTTACTAGATGATTTCCTATAAAATTAAAGATTTTTGAGGCCAAGTTTAGATTTAACAGAAGAATGTGGACTTGATGGGTAAGAGGTACTCATGGCACCCTCTGCTATGGGCAAGAGGTGAAAATTGGGGCACAGATCCCAGGTATTTGGCACCTCTGCCTTGACACAGAAGCGTTCTTCTGTCCTTTTATTAACGTGTGCCACTGTGCCTGACCATTTATTGTATCTATGATAAAAACATTCAAACTGTTTGCCCCAGGGAAAGCCAGTCTGGATAGAGGTGCAGAGAAGTCAGTGAAAGAAGTAAACGATAGAGGAGACTGGAGAAGAAATGTCAGAGTGATCAGTATTCCAGAAAGTTGTATTGATGCCAGGGGCAGTGGTGCAAGCCTGTAACTCAGATGAGGAGATTGAGCCAGGAGGGTTGCAAGTTGGAGGCCAGCCTGGGCCGCTGCTTACTGAGACGCTGCCCTGGGTGGGTGGATGGATAGATAGAGATAGAGAGAGAGAGAGAGAGAGAGAGAGAGAGAGAGAGAGAGAGCTAGGATGTAGCTCAGTGGTAGAGCATTTGCCTAGGATTTGTGTGGCTCTTGGTTCAATCCCCAGGACCAAAAAAAAAAACAACCCACAAAATTGAGGACTTTGAGGTTGAGGTGAGAGATTACAATCAAATCATATGCAGGTTATGCAAAGTACTTTGGAAACTTGTCTTCAAGTGGCAAAGAAGTAAAGCATTCTAAAGTGGAAAAAGGCTAACCCTAGATGTTTCAGAGGGCCACATGGGCCTGAAATGTAGTCATCCTTTCCTTAGTTAATTAAAGTTTATAAAAATGACATGATGGGCAGAAGCAAGAGGGAAAAGAGATGCATAATTTTTCCTCTCAGAGTTTAATGTCAGTTACAGGGAGGGCATAGAGTTTGTCGTAATTCTACTTCCAAAAATGACACTTTAAAAGTTATAAAAAGCTGCACTTAAATATTAAGCATAATAAGGAAAATAAAGAAAAAAATTGAAATAATTGTAATCTTTTCAATCAAAAGAAGACATGTAAACATTTACAGTATATGGTTCTTTTCTTTCTCCACCCTCAGGATTTTCTGAACATATGGATGTACCAGAATTTTCTGTAACTACATCCTTTGCCAGCAGACCTTTAATGCTACCTCATCATTTTGCTATTATAAGCAGTACCTCATAGAACATCTTCTCTTATATCTTTTGTTCACATTTCTAATTGTTTAGAATAATTAAGTAAACTTGTGTGGGTAAAGCTTGTGTGAACAATTTTAAGGTCCTGTTACATATTGTTCAAAGTTTATTTAGAATGATGGGAAAAGTTCTGAAAATGGGTAGTGGTCATTTTGCACAACCTTGTGAATATACTCAGTGCCACTGAAGTATACAGTAAAAATGATCAAAATCTTACATTTTATGATGTTTATATTTTACCACAATAAAAATAGTCAAAAAAGGAAAGTAGCATAAATACTTTTAGTGCTTTTAAAAATTAGTTTTATGCTCAAGGACTCTAAGAAAAATACTATAATAATTTAGTACCATACATCAGAAGCTTTAAGAAGGCATATACTTTTATATTCAGCAATTTTGCCACTAGAAATTCATCTTAATAGTATTTAAAAAGTAGAAATACATTTATAAACAAAACATTCTTCAAGATGGTTTTACTGGTGTATACTTCCATTGTCAGGCTGTGTTTTCATCTTGATACACACATAGCCAACCATCTCACTTCCCTTTATTAACCATTTGGGTATTTTGGTACATTTTATCCAGCCTCTATTCATATTCCTCTCAATCCTGTTGAAACCAATTTTTCTGTAGACTGTATTATTGTTTGACATTTATTGATGAGAGAAATTTGGGTAACAGAAAAGTGGCTGATTGATTAGTATAGTATATCAAGGTTTCAAGACTTCCATTGTTAGTAGCTCAACACAGCAGAAATTTAAGGAGGAGAGATTCCTGGGTGAAATTTATATGTGGTGTAATTCTCAGAATACTAGCTCAAGTGAGAATTGATTTTTTTAATTGTCTCTCCTTTAAAGGAATGACTGGATTCGAGTTGGCCTCTGCTATCCATCAAATACAACCTTTCAGGTTACCTTTGGCTTTCTGCAGCGACAGAATGGCTCCTTATCCAAAAGTGAAGACTACGAGCCCGTGCATTCGCTGGAAGAACTGCAGAGAAAGCAGGATGAGAGGAAATTCTATTTTGACTCCAGCACAGGGTAATTCAATGGAACCAGGGAATAAGAATTAATGCTATTTTTCTTCAATGGTGAAATTGCTAGTTCTTCAGAGTAGCTAAGAATAGGCTGTGATGAGATGGCTGTTAGAAAAAGCAGCTGATGTGGGTACTTTTCTGCACATCATTATTAGGGGTTTCAAGGAGAACTGGAACAACTTGTAATTATAGTTGGCAGAAGGAATTGAATGAAGATGTTTGCCGTTTGCCTATTAAGGCAATTTAGAGAGAGAGAGAGAGAGAGATATTATTCTTGTCCGTGAACCAGTAGGCTCAGTTGAAAATGAAAATAATTTTTCCTGTAACAGATGTGAAGATAGGTAAATATTACATGTGATATAGTTCATATTTCATAGAAAACTCAATTTTCTTGTCCTGCTCACTTAAGGTTATCTCTCAAGTTGACCTTGAGCTTTTCAAAATCACTGTATAATCATGGCATATTTGCTTTCAACTTTCTCTAGGGTGCATCTTTCCACTTTTTAATTCTAATCCTGTTTTCCTGGGGTCCTGCTGGCTTTGTCGCTTTTGTCCAGTGACAGTCTCTCAGCCTGTGGGCTATGGTAGGCTCTATCTCCTGTACTATTCCAGCAAGTAGCATGCTCTTCTTCAGCCCTCCATCCTTAAGCTGACATTCCTCCTACACTGCTGTCTAAGTACTTTCAAGATACTAATGTAAATGAGATGCATTTCTTCTGCAAATTCGTCCATTAAAGGGCATGCAAAGCAAGTAATTGGAAAGCAAAAGGTTTAAATGCTATAATTCCCGTAGTATAGGATACTTAATATGCCTTTTGGGGGAACTCTTTAAGTTCAGCCTAGAGTAAGCAGTGACATCCTGAGAGGGTGACACTGGAGCTGACTCTTGGAGGGCAATTAGGAGATGGAACAAGAGGTGGGTGAGGTGTCACACACCCATGAATGAACATTGTGTACAGATGCATGGAGGCATGAAGGACCGCATGGCATGTTTGGGAAAGGACAGCGTATTCAGAGTGGGAAGACAGGTGGTGGGATTGTTGAGGGAACGCAGTTGGGGTTCAGTCATTAAATGCCTGGTCAGCCTTTGAATGAGATGCAGTTCATTTGCTTTCCAGGGTCTGCAACAGCCAGTGTGATAAGCATCAAAGTTTTCTTATAATTACCACTAGTTTTCAGTTTCTAAGAGACTTAAACAACTTATCTGCACTTTTGTTTTGTAGATGACAAAATCCATTCCCTGTTGCTTTTCCACAGAAATAAATGGAACACCCAGATTTGTTAAGGATAATCTTGTAACCACGAATTAATGATTATCTGTATAAAAAGATGGGGAAATATTTTCTTGTCTGGGTGTTTCAAGAACCCTTCAGCCTCTGAAGATCTATTTCTTTTTAATTCTGTTTGTTTTGACTACTTTAATTATATATTGAAAAGGGCTATCCCCAGTTAGGTGCTTGTTACTCCTTAAACTGTATCTAGTAAAATTACTGGTTGTGGGAACAGTGGCTGATCTTTTACCTCATAATTGCAATTTTGCATTGTTTTATTGACCTCATTAATTAAAATATGAATTCTTGATTTCTGGTACTCCATCACATTTTATCAAGTCTTTTAGAATCTTGAGTTCCTTTGATTTAGAAAGACTAGGCTTGCAGATAGACGTTGGACTGCTGCCTGGAAGTTAGATTTTCCTATTCATCTTGGCAGTAAGAAGATAATTCAGAATGGATGGGACTGTTCTTTTAGCCTGATCAGGGCCTACTTGCAGACAGAAGGACCCTGGGCCTACGTGCTCTTGGAAAACACAGGAATTGATTTGAGACTGTCCTTGGCTTTAGCCAAACAAGGCAGAGTTGCTGTTTTATTATTCTAAGTTTTGTGCCTTAAACCAAAATAATTTATGAACAACAACAACAACCACAAAAAGAACAAACCACATTAATTCACTAATTCACTGAGTCCTAAACTCAACACAACTATATAGTTTCTAAGAACTTTTGAGCCATGCCAAATTTCATCCTCTCAAATTACCTAGTGAACTGATTTAAACCAGAAATTAACTTTGATATCTTCCAGAGTGAGTAAATCAAGGCATCAAAATATTTTCCATAGCAGAACTGCATTTGATTTAAGACCCTCAGAGGATAGGAAGGAAAGCAACAATTTTATGAAGTTTGTAATTTATTTCTCTTTTAAAGAAAGGTTATTTATTGGAGAGATCCTTTTGGTCATGAGTCAGTCTGAGGGATTTTATTAGTTTTTGAGAGGAAGTCTAACACCAAACATGTGGGTTTCTGTTTTGTGCAGGTTATTGTTTCTGTATCTCAAAGCCAAAAGCCACAGGGAAGGCCACAGTTACTGTTCATCTCAGGGATGTGAAAGAGTCAAGATCCAGGCAACAACAGACTCAAAAGACATCAGTAACTGCATGGCCAAGGCATATCCACAGTATTACAAGAAGCCATCTGCGGTCAAGCGCATGCCCGCCATGGTCAAAGGACTCTGCCGAGGCTGTGGTACCCATCAGGTAATCCAGGGAGAGTGAGGTGTAGCCGAGAGGAAAAGTAAGAGGGTTCCCTTGTGGTCACAGCATTTTACTTTGAAACATCCGCGTTTCCAGTTTATGATACTTTAACCTCATCACCTCAATTTTGGCCCAGTCTGGAATAGTATGCTCAGGAGAAGCAAAGTAGTCCAAATTTGTAACAAAAGTGCTTTTTCCCTGTGATACATCAATGTAGTCTGATTGGCTGTGTATTTTACACAATTTGAAGTGAGAGGTTGCTGTGTTGGTTATCATTTCTTAGTTTCCAGACTGGTGACTGTTTTAAAATTGTTATTAGGGTTACATGTCAAAAAGTGATACAAAAGTGGCTTGTTTTATTGGCATTGAATTTCCTCTCGAAAAAATGCAGTACATATGAAAATTGTTTATTTCTTTTACTTCCTCTTTTTTTTAATGGCCTTGAGAACTGATTCCAGAGCCTTGAGCATGCTAGGCAGGTGTTCTACCATTGCACTACATCCTCAGCCCTGAATAATTTCTTTTTTTTTTTTTTTGGTACCAGGGATTGAACTCGGGTCCCCTGAATTATTTCTTTGAAAAAAAATTTTTTTAAAGCTACTCTTTGCTTTAAAGTATGTGCTATTAATATTCACTTGTAATTAGAAATACAGACTGACTGGTTAGAAGTGGCAGACTGGCTCAGTAGTAGAGCAATTGCCTAGCATGTGCAAGGCCCTAGGTGTCATCCCCAACACCACAAACAAAACAAAACAACCCCTCCCGCCTCACACAAAAACACCCCACATGGCAAAGGAAACCACATGGCCAATCTAGGAGTCAAAATTGCATATCCATACAGGGTTTCTGAGGACATCAGACCAATTGTAAGTGAAAAATTCTGTGCAAATACTGCACAGATTTATATTTAATCATGACAGAAAACAAGTGTGTCTCCCCCATCAGCAGCAGCACTAGTATCTCCTGGGAACTTGTGAGAAATGGAAATTCTTGGGCCCCATCCACTCATACTGAGCCAGCAGTGTGGAGGTCGGTCCATGCTTCTGCAGCCCTGAAGGTGGCTAATGTATGATCACATTTGAGTTCCACTAAGGATTTTTTTAAAGCAAGAATTACACAAAAATACATAGTGCCTCTCAATATGAAAAAACTTCTAAATCTCTTCATTTCTGATCATTCTCAATGATTAGAGAAAACAAAATTTCTTCTTCCACTAAGTTCTCACTCTTTCTCTTGTTTTTGTCAGTTGGTAGCATTAAACAGTAGGAAGAGAAAGATGGACTTAGGCTTCTCATTAGTATTTAAAAGGTTTTTTTGGCTTTTTTTTCTTTTTGTTATTCAGTGCTGGGGATCAAACCCAGGACCTGGCACATGCCAGGCAAGTTCTGTGACACTGAACTCCATCCCCAGCCCCTGTGTCAAGTCATTTTTATTGGCATTGATAATAATTGATGTATTTTGAAGGACACCTTGGGAGGAGGATACAGTTGACTTATGTACAGACCTTATTCCTGTCCAGGTGGTGTTTACCAGTGATCCTCACAAGAGCTACCTCCCTGTGCAGTTCCAGTCACCTAGTAAAGCAGAAACTCAGCGTGGAGAACTGTCTGTCGTTTCTGTAAGTACTGTCTGATGTCGCCTTAGTCTGTTTGTGCTACTGTGACCAAATACCATACACTAGGTGGCTTATAAAAGCAGTACTGGGGCCAGGGATTTAGCTCAGTGGTTCCACTGCCTGCCTCACAAGCTCAAGGTCCCCAGTTCGATCCCCAGTACCCCCCAAAAAAGCAGTTCTGAAGGCTGGGAAGTTCAAGATCAAGGCCCTGGCAGATGTGTCTGGTGAGGGGTCACTTCCTGGTTCATTGATGGCACTCTTGCTTTGTCCTCATATAATGGAAGGATTGAGGAATCTTTTTTAGTCTTCTTTTGTAAGGGCTCTAATCCCATTCATAAAGATTGTATCCTCATGTCCTAATTAGTTCCTAAAGCCCCCCCTTCTCATACTGTCACTGTGGTGGTTGGGATTTCATCATACGAATGAGGGAGGGCACGAACATTCATACCATAGAGTATGTCTGCGCTGCTGCAGCTTCTGGCTTTTACTATTCATCTTGGTTACATAAGTGAACTCTAGCAGTAGTTTGTAATCACATGTTGATTATTGGTGGGAAGCACTACAATAGAGCTGTTGTAGATACCTTCTAAACATTCTTGCTTTGAAATAAATTACTTTTATTATATTTTTTCTGAGTAGATTGTATTCGCTGATTGCTTTTAAGCTAATGTTAAAATCTGTTCACATTACTTTTCACCAAGTAAGAGTGTTATAAATAACTCAGATTTCATTTCTGTAAGAGGAGAGGCATCTTTGGTTACAAAAATAATAGCAATGTTTAATCTTGGTTTTTTAAATTTAAGATTAAGATCTTAAGGCCTGGGGATTTAGCTTAGTGGTTTCGCCACCTGCTGCGCAAGCACAAGGACCTGAGTTCGATTCCCGGTAACAAAAAAAGAGTAATATCTTACGTGGATTAAGATATGGGAAATAAAGATTTAAAAAAAATCTCTTTAGCCTCTTAAATTGTCTATCTCTTATTTTTTTCAGGTAAGAAAAATAAAGATTTAAAGTGCTGTCTTTTCTAAGTAGATTAGTGAGAGTACAGACATGAGTTTGAGTGTCAAGATAAGAATTTGGGCTTGGAGGCAAGGTAGCCAGGGTCACTTGGCATATGACCTATCCCAGTTGTGTTGATCTGGGTGCTGCCATATAAAGCGTTCTTTGGGTAACAAGTGTCCAGAACACCCAACTTACAGCCCTCTAGGGCCTGTGCCCAGTCTCCATATCTTTAGGAAGTCACTTTTTTTTCCAGTGGTTGGCAACATAATCACAAATCCGTGTATATATGGACAAAATTCTTCAAGTGTGTATTTATATTTATTCCCCTCTGTTAGCAGTCCTTCATTTTGTAAGATGCTCAAGATCTAATTTTATATGTGTGAGATTTGCTTAGCTCAGCCTCTTGGTGCCTTCAGCTGTGTGTGCAACCTGACCTCAGCCTGCTAGCGTTGTGTCTGGTGGGGTGTGCTGTGCCTAAGGGAGGCAGGTGCATGATGAGGCACCCACCGTTCTGAAAGCTCACTAGATAATTAAAGATACTGTTTTGCCAAACCAAAAATCTCAGGCGCAATATGCCTCAGGGCCTGAAGTCGTTCTTTGATACCTTTGCTGCACATTGGGTGCCTTGGACCATAGAAGAGTGGCCGAACACGATGTATTGTCATATTTATGTCCAGTGCTTTTCACATGCATAACTTGTGCATCCTTCCCTAGGACTTGGGCTTTGCTTTAGTTTTTATGGAAAGATTCGTTTTCTTTAACCAGCAATTTTTGGGGGAGGTGCTTTTCATGGGGACGATTTGAGTATGTTTGAGGGTCATTGTATAGTTTTTCTCAAATGTACTTCAGTTTTAAGTATTCAGACTTTTTAAACATAAGGAAATCACTTGTAGTCTTCTCTCACATAAAATTTACCTCAAGACTTATAAAACTAATCCCTGGATTAAAGCCATTTGAACATGGCTAAAGAAGCCATTTTGAATTGAAGTTTGATCGGTGGTGATTAGAAATAAAATTTACATGCAATTTTTCCAAACAAGGAAAATGTAGTGAGAGCATTTCTTTTGTCAACCTTAGTTTATATTATATTATTGTTTATAATTATAGTTTATATTATAGTTTATAATTTTACAACTTACAAACAGAAATAGAGCCTATGAGTTACTAGTTAGTTGTTTTCCTTTCTGGCTGAGGAATTAATGATATTTGGAAGTATCTGGAGTTCCTCTTTCATGATAAAAATCACAAACCATTAAAGAGGATGATTATGGAAATTCAGCTCACAGTAGGTGTAAAGCAAAATGTTGGTCATATCTTATACTTTAAATCTCAGTGTACCACTTGGCTGTTTTGATATTAGAAGAGCTATATTTAGACCAAAGGAGGTAAAGCAGTTTGACTTCTATAATATTCCAAATCTAAACGTTAGTAAGATGAGGGGACTAGACCTTGGGTCAAATCATGTTTTGTATATGTGTGTAGGATCAGAGGCCAAACCCCTGATTTATAGAGACTGTATGTGTGTGTGTGTATAATTGAATAAAGGTGGGAGCATTGCGGAGTCACCCAGTTCCGCTGAGTGGAGGTGGCCATGCCATGCTCAGAGCATCTTCTCTCATTAGCAAAGATCAGTCAAGGCACAGCCAAGAGGAACCAGGCACAGCTTCACACATTGTGTAAAAGAGTAAATGAAACTCACAGTTTGAATCCTGGGTTCAGAAGGGCATGGAAGGACAGTCACTCTGAAGATGTACCTAAAATGGTGATGATGGAAGCAGCTGTGTTTGTATTCTCAGGTCAATGGCACCGACTTCACCTTCCAAAGTGCAGGCATCCTCCTCCTCATCGTAGATGCGTGCAGTGTTCCCTTCCAGTTGACAGAAAAAAAGTTTTTCCCTCCTGCTGATGTTGATGGTATGAAAGAATATTTGAAAACAAGCATCCCTCCAAGGTAGGTCAAGCTAACTTGGTGTCAGGGACTGGCCACCTTAAAAGCTGTGGAGTCTTCCCCACAATTTACACCTGCTTACCCATAAGCTCTGGTTTGTATTCATGGTCTTAATACTCCATGGATATTCAGGGCTCTGCAAAAGGCGTCCATTCCTTCCTGTCAGAGGGATGACTGTGTGATCCAAGGTGCTTGTCATTGACAAATGATTACTGTGAATCAATGGCAGAAATTCGATTTTAAGAGATTTGCAAATGGTAGGAAGGCTCTTAAGAAAAAAGCTATTGTTTGGAACTTTACATGCTCTCTTTTTATTATTAAGTTGATTTACTTTATACCCATTTTCCTCAGACTTATTACTGTTTTGTAATAATTTTCCCAGAGGTTTTACCTTTGTTGCCATGTCCCACTGACAGATCTGCAGACAGCATTGTACTATGGCTATGATTAAGGAAATCATTGCCTGGATCACTTGGGAGTGACTGGAAGAGAGTAAATTGATTTTTAAGTGGTTAGGTGTCTAGTCTTTGTTTTAGGAGCACTGATTTTTATTTTGTTGATCTCTGAAAAAAATAAATGGGAGAGAAAAATTTATTTTCCTGGGTTGGACGGACTCTGGGGACGAAGAGATGAATTCAGGGTTCTTCCTGCACCTTAGCTTTGATGCAGATGTTAAGTGCATCCATTAAGGGAAGAACATAAGCTTCCCAGGGAGGAAGACCTGTTCAGCTTTTGACAGATCATTTATGTTTGGTATAGGTTATAGAACCAGATCTCAGTAAGTCCTGGGAAGTCACTGTATCATTTTGGTGCAGTTTTCCACATGGATGTATACAGTCACCCTTCTGTGTCCATCCATGAGGTGATTGGTTCTAGGACCTCCTGCAGATACTCAAAATGCCTTATATAAAATAGTGTAATATTTGCATATAAGCTGAGCATATCCTCCTGTATACTTTAAATCATCTCTAGATTATAATATCTAATACCATGTAAATAATATATATACATATACATAGTCATTACAATGCATTACCTAGGGAATAGTCGCAGGGGAGAAAGTGTTCACATTCAATACAGACACAAAGTTTCTTTTTCCAAATATGTTTCACCTGTCATCGGCTGAACTTGTATATGTAGAGCCTGTGGATATGGAGGACCAGCTGTAGCTCTGTTTTGTGTTCAAGACAAGTACAGGGGAATCCTTTCAGAGCTTTCAGTACTTAAGGATTTAAAAGTTTTTCCTAATGTTGAAAATAACATACGCTCACTTTAAAGCAATCTAGGACACAAGTCTCACTAAAAATTTTTAGGACAACATAGTACTCCTGTAGATTACCCTATAGATTTAAGAGTAAAGGCTTTTGAGAGACTGGCAGTGCTGTTTCTTGATCTGGCTGCTGGTTATTCAAGTTGGCAAAACTTAAGTGTGTTACACAAGTGGTGCATGCCTACAGTCCCAGCTACTTAGGAGCCTGAGGCAGAAGGATTGCAAGTTTGAGCCCAGCCTAGGTAACTTAAGAGAAACCATCACAAAAATTAAAAAGTAAAATAAAAGGACTGGGAATGTACCTCCGCACTCCCTGGTACTGGGAGGAAAAAAAAGATGGAAATTAAACAACATTTTTCAGGCCATGGAGACCAGCTTTTATTTTTATTTATCCATTAATTTATTTTTTGTAGTTCTGGGGATCACACATGCTAGACAAGTGACTCTACCACTAACCTGTACCCTCAGACCTTATTTTTATTTTTTAGAAGTGTGTTTACCCATTCATTTAATAGTACGTAGGTGATAGAGCATCTGAACTAAAACAAAATGATCCTTCAATGAACAATTGTTTCTTCCCTAAAAGATCCACGTCCCAAACCATCCAGTACACCAGCGGATGTAAATAATTAGCTTTTGGTTTCCCTACATTGTTTTCTCTTGGAATGGCAACCTGAGAAGTCCAATCAAAGGCAGAGGAATTGCAGCTTGTACCAGAAGGGATGAAAAAGCATCTGGGTGGTTTCTTCTCAGTGTTCTGCTTTTATCAAGTATCTCTATGCTGTCCTCAGTTCACAAAACTAGTCAATAAACTCATGCTTAATGACTGAAACTGGCTCTGATTTTATAACTTTCACATACAGGTCAATAGTTCTGTTAAGTACAAGAGAAGAAATAAAGCAGTTGAATATTTCAGATTCATTAATACCTCTGGGATTAGCCAAACCAGCTCATCTTTATAACAAAGGTTTGTATTTGTATTATTCTATGAAGTTCTTCCAAGGCATGCAGCATATGCATTTTGATGGGGAAATTTAGCTGCTAGACTGTTTTTATGAGCTTGTTTGGCTGGAGTGTGCATCATTATGATAATTTCTAAATAAGGGGACAATACTAGAGGAAGTGTGTTGGGATATGGTTTGTTATTAGGGTGGTAAGAGTTAATTTGCTTATGTAAGGGAGAGGAATTGATAAATATATATTGATATCTTTGTTTTTCTCAACTCTGACTCACCTCCTGCAGTAACTTGCCAGAAGTAGCTGTACAAATTGAACTTTTTTTTTTTTGTCTTTTTAGGGAGCATCATTTTTTTGGGATTCAGAGGAAACTTTAAACCATCATGGACTAAACTGTTTACCAGTCCTGCTGGACAGGGCCTTGGAGTGTTTGAACAGTTCATACCTTTGCAGCTGGATGACTATGGATGTCCCCGAACCAGCCGTGTCCATAGAAGAGACCTGGAACTGTTAAAGCAAGCTTCTAAAGCGCTTTAGGGACTGATTGTAACTTAAGTGCTAGGAAAAGAAATGTGAACTAACTTATTTAATTTATGGCATTTTAAAATGACACTGTTAACCTAATAGAACCATTTTCCTGTCTGATACAAAAGGGAGAAAAGAAAGAGTTCAAAGAGATTGCTTGAGTACCAGCTCACGCACCTTCTAGTTATACAAACATTAGAGAATTTGTCTTTGTAAGGCTGGTGTCTTTAGAGAGAAACTCTCTTGTTCCTTACCCGGTGCCTCAGGATGTGGTAATGACCATCCATCAGCAGGGTTTGACTTTTGGTAAAATGGGATGTGCTACGGTGGGCTGGCAGCTTCTAAGAGTTCACTTGGGCTCTGTAGAGAACCAGCATCTTGGATACTTGAAGTCTGACCCTCAGTTGTGTCCTGTGGCAGGTGACGGGTGGCTGGGATGTTTGGCAATGCCTGGGGCCCTGTTTCTGGGCAACTGTGGTGGATTTTTCTATGATCCTCATTGACAGTTTTAAGTGGCATCTCAGGCCCAGCTCATGCCCATTTTTGCCTGGACATGTGCTATTTTTATTCATTTGTATATTGATTACTTCTAAGGGTTCCTCTTTCAAACAGGAAGTACATTGGGGCAAAAGGGCTTTTAGGGATTAGAAATCCCTTTCATTTGTGACTGTTGGGCAAAAATTTGACCTGCATCAAGGTCTGAGATTGTTGGGACCATTTTGGAGCTTTAATCCTTAGCCTGTCTTGACTGTATATTTGTGTTTAAAATGCAGAGCTGAGCTGAACATTTACTTTATTTTTATTTTTTAAAAGCAGGCCGTTTTCCTGAACTCTAAACTTGTATTGTTTTAACTTGCACAGAGGAAGTCTGTTCTTCATGTTGCTCTTGTACCTGGATTTTTTTGTTGTTTTCATGTGTGTGGGTTTTTAAAAAAGATTCTCCACTTACCATCCTGCCGGGAAAATCCTGGAAAGCTTAATGATAATCCAAAATGATTGTACCTAGGGTGGGAAGAAGTATCCTTTTAAGGACCAGAATCATGGAGGGAATATTGAGAAATTAATCCTTTCTAGCCTTAAAGGAGTGGAGTCACTCTTAATTAAATTGTTGAGGACAATTAAGAGCACAGTGATGCCTGATTTCCCTTTCCACTGGAATCCCTGGTCTCCTGCCAGTGAGGATTGCATTTATCAAAGGAGATGGGTACCACAGCCTGGGATGCTCCCCTCTCCCTAAGAGGAAAGATGCATCAGAATGCCTTTGCATTTTTATAAACCCACAAGGCACCAATCTGGTGAGGGGAAGGCCAAGTGTGTTTGGGCTGCTGACACTGGCAGTGAGTGAGTACAGACAAATTTACTTTCTTTACCATGTGCCAAGCTGATGGCTTGTACCTTTGTGTCCAGGAGAAACTACAGACCAGCTCTGCGACTTCTTACTTTACAAAATGTGCTACCTCAAACTGCTGCCAATAAAAACCATTCTGACTGTAAGTGCTCACCCGAAGGGCACGTGTCTTAAAAGTTTGGTTAGTTTTTTTGGGTGTGGGATTTTTTGTTTTTATTTTTTTGTACAGTAATGAATGAGATCTTACCTATTAAATACATAATTGTGTCATGGTTCCTAAAGGTGATTAAAGTTTGTGTGTGTGTTTTATGACAAATATCTTTGATGTGTGTCTTTTTAAGAGTTTGATTCTTTAAAGATTTGGGAAGGATATGTAAGTTCTGAGGCATTCACTTTCTCTGATTTATCTACTAATAATCAGAGCCTACGTTAATAAAAATATGTGTGCATGTACTTTGTATATGTGTGAATGTGAATCCCTATATCTCTCTATCATGTTTTAAATTCCAGGTTCCAGCTGTAAAGGTTATTGACAGGAGTAAGGAAATCCACCAAGTAAATTTTGTGAAACTAGTCACTAGAAATATGGAAGTATATTGTCTGGTGCAGATTCTCAACCTTGGCTGGACATTGGAATAACTTAGGAACCTTTAAAAAAACAAGTCTCCTGCTCACTCACTCCCAGATTTGCATTTACTTGGTGTGGGGTGCAGTCTGGGCATAGGGATTTTTTTTTTTAAAGTTCTCTGGGTGATTCTAACATGCAGCCAGCTTTTAGAACTACTATACTAATTTAGTGAGTGTTTAACTTTGTTGTGTAATTTTTTGTGATTAAGAAATTACATTTACCTGTTATTTTTATTTCAGATTCCTATATTACAGAACTTCCAATGCGAAACAAAGCATTTCACTACTGGTTCTTTTTAATAGCACTTTTAAATACAGCTTTCAGTCTTTAATCCTCCCTGATTGTTAAATTGGTCATACAAGCTGATACACACATTTCAGGCAGTTAGGAGCTAGCAGTCTGTTCTCTTTGTACTGATAAATTGTGTTCCAACATGATTTATAAGTTTGTAAGCATTTTTTCATCAGGTGAGGTGATCGGCTGAACTCCCGAAATGAGGGTGTCCACAAATCAGGCCGCTGATGAGAAACACAGGGGTTTCTCATATATCCTCGGACTGGTGTTCTGTGTCTTTGCTGTGAGGGTCCTACCTCTCTGCCCGAGGCAGCATGCCGTGTGTGATCTTCAGAGACTGTGGGAGAGTGCTTTGGAGCAGATGAAAGGCACACACACGGCCCCACGAAAGATGACTCCAAGCAGCCGCAAGCTGATGCTTGGACCAAGAGTTGGGGGGCGGGGGGTTATAGCTCCTTTGCTCTCTAACTTCATCACAGGTCCTCGTGCCATTAAGCAGATTTTGAGGATAGGTTTCTGATGAGGTGATGGACAGAGCCTTGAATGCTTCAGAGAACTGTTTTCATTCCTTAATGATTGAGGGAATGTTTGGACTAGTCCACTTGAAAGGTATTTGATAGGAAGGAATGCTCTGTATAAAGGTTTTTTCCTGGTATCCCTAGTAGATAAGTAAATTGATTCCACTAAGATAATACTTGTGGATTTTGTATTGCAGAATTGGAGTTTACCCTCCAACATTCCCATTTAGCTTTCAGGTACTTATTAAGCCGTGCTTAATAAGCTGAGAAATTTTCCTGGAGGTGATCACCTTTAATAGGGTAACAGATTTGTGTTGTTATTGTTACTCTGACTTGATAACGACCCAGTGTGCTAGCAATGCAAGCAGACATTCTGGGCTGGAGCTAATTTTCAGTAAAAGACCAGGGAAGAGGTAGTCAGGGAAAGTCATTCCAGTTCTGTGATCACAAATGACAAAACGTTTGCAGCTTGCTGGATCCCTGAGTCATTTGGAAGACAGAAGTTTTTTCACTTTCATTTAGTCAGTATGAGGAAGAAGCTGATAAAATGGATGCTTAATTAGGACTTGGTGTTGTGCACATACACATTTTTTTATTCTTAGGTGGTAAACTGAGACTGGACTGTGATATTTATTTATTTATTTTGGTACCGGGGATCGAATTTGGGACCTTGCGCTTGCGCAGCAGTCTCTGGAATCACTAAGCTAAATCCCTGGCCCTGAACTGTGATTTCTAAGTAAGGAACCATGCCCCACAGGACATGCAGAAATATCAGCCATACCAAGCTGTGAAACGTGTTGTCTGAAAATACATTTTAAAATTTTCTTTACATGAACAAAATTAGTCTGAATATGAAAAATGATAGTTTTCTCCTCAAGAAAGCTTAGACATGGTCACAATTGGTTAATCAGAGTTGGGAAACTATGACCTCGCCCCATAATTTTGAGCTGAGTGTTTTTCTTGTTTTAATTTCTTGCTTCATGTATATTTGTATATATTTATGAGGTAGATTGTAATATTTTAATTCCTTGTATACATTGGGTAGTGATCAATTCAGGGTGATCGATTAGTGTACCCATCAGCTTAAACTTTTAATATACATTCAGATTCTCCTACCTCAAGATATATAATGCAAAATTGTTAATTGATAGGAATGAGTTCCAGTGTTCTATGGCAAAGAATACATTGTTGTTCATAGTCCTGATCTTAAAACTTGCCAACATTTTGAGAATTTAAAAAATAGTACAATAAGTTAAGGAATTAACCTGCAACAGAATGACATGAGGCACTGGATAAAAATGCAAAATCCCAAACCCCATCTCAGACCTAGACTTGGCATCTCAGAGTTGGAGCTAGGAATAAAATTGCATAATAAGTTCCCCAGGTGTTTCTTACATAGGTTAAAATTTGAAGTTCTTACAGCATGGAGCGAGTTGGGTCTTCCTCCCCCTAAATAGAGAACACATCCAAACAAATTTGAAGCGCTGTTTTTGCTTTTTAAAAACTCTGTTGATTCCATCTACATTGCCTTTCCAGAACTTTTTTTTTGGTAACTAGTGGAGGGTAGATTTGATGTTCAGCAAAGTGTGTAACTGTTACTGAGACAGGTTTGTAAAGCACACTGTGGGGTCCTCCATGATGTCTGAAATGCTCCTTAAAATTACCCTTTTGGCTACACTTAGTTTCTGCTCAGAAAATCTCAGGCATCTTTTGTTTTCTGCAATTATTATTTTAAGAAATTTAAAGGAAAATGTACATTTAGCCAAAATTGGGCTGCACAGAATAACAAAAGCAGGTTTCTTTGTTTTTGGATGACACTAATCCTGATTATTTCAAACTTAGCAACACTGATAATTGTGGGTGTATTTTATTTAGGTAGAATGAATGATGTCATACAGCTTACTTTGTAAGCAAAAGCCTTACAATATATCATTTTCATGGAGAGCCCTAGGAAGTGTTGGGTGAACTTGAGGGGTCATGAAGTTGATCCTTGACAGGAAAGGGGTCAGACTGGGCAGGTGTGGCTGGTTGACCTCCCGTAGCCCATGTTGATTATCAGCATCCAGTTCCTGAGGAGAAAGGCCAAGCTCAGGAAGGTTTCTGATGCAGGAGAAAGTGGAACTTTCAAGTGTCAAGGTTAGAAGCATGATCAACTCCCAATATGGTAGTGGGGAGGAGAGAGTTAAGATGGGAAAGACAGACTGTGTTAGAACTTGCTTCCTTCAACAGTGCACATGTGGCCAGTCTTAAGGAAAACAGCTCTCAGTGAGCAGGTAATGGACTGGTGACAGAGTGAGCTGCCTGGTAGCTATTTGCTTTATGGATGGTGGATGTTTATTCCACGTAAGGTGCATTATTATTAGTGTTACTTGGAGCAGCATGCTAATTCTGATCTCGGCTTTCTCATCTATAAAATGGGACTATTAATGTTTTTGTGAAGTTAAAGGGGATATTAAATGAAAACAGCCATGGCTAACAAAACAGCTGGTAATCAGAAATATCTGCTGGTTTTTTAAAAGAATTCCTGCTACCTTTGAATTATAATAGTTTCTACACAGATTGAGAGTTAGGGAATTTATGTTCTTCAGACAAATTTCCAAGGTAATGCCAAGTTGGGAAACTGCTGAAAAGACCCTAATTTTAATACACTTCTGGTGCTCAGTTATTTGTGTGTAGAAAACAACCTCAGCCCAGGCAATATTTGTTTAGTGAATTGGCTCGAGCTTACGCAGGAGCTTTGCACTTATGCCCTTACTTGTGCTAGTGCTGTGATGTAGCGGGCTATGAGCATGTGGGTGGAAGGGGCGGGGGCCGGAAGGAAAACATGGCTACACCCTGTCGTGCAGCTGATATGTCTAGTTTCCTGCTCCTGTTCTTGCAAGGGGAAACTTCAGTTCAGCTAATAGTTTGTCAGTCCCCTTTTTGCCATAAGCAAGGAGTAAAAACAACTCCGTTCTAATTAACTGTTTTCAACCACCTACATTTTCACTCTCCCTATCCAGAAGGAAAAATGTTAATATGCAGTGAAATGGTTCAAAACTCAGGTTTACATAACAAATCTGAGTTAGAGAACTTGGAGAATGAGTGCCTTTGGCAGCAAACCTTCCCATGTTTCTGTGCCCATTTCTTCTTAGCCACACACCTCCATCCACGTCCTGCCTCCTTCCCAAGGTCCACTAGCTGGGGAGTAGGAGAGAGCCCCTTTTTAACATGCTCCCTATTCTTCGTGAGTTCCTTGTTTAGCACTCAGTATTTTCAACCCTTAAAGTTAGGTTTCATATCTAAAATATTTCTTTCAAGCAGTAACACCATTTTAATAATCTGCCCATAATACCTATGATGTGAAAAGTAATATGCACTTGGAATTTTTGATTATTATTCTGATTTGGTTGGTGTTTAAGGCAGTTTTGGACTCCAGGATATTGACTTACATAGGAGAATGCTATCTATGTGTGGGAAAACATACAAATCTGGAAAATGCAGATAGGATTCAGTTGCTGAGTAATGGAGCCAATACCATCTTTAGTTTAAGGACTTGTATTTGGATGGAGTGCTTCTGTTTATCTTTAGAAAGGCTGTGGATAATACTGTGATTTTACTCCTGCTTTAAGTAATGCTCTCAGAACATGGACTCAATGAGTAACGTTACCTGGTTCTGAAACATATCCAGTTGCATTCTGGCCCAGGGACTTGGCCACATGAAAGCACGTTTATCCCATCTTGTATTTGGAGGCTGTGCTCAGTGAACACTGGAAAATCCCCATTGTTAGTGGTGTTTTGCATGTCTGTAGATCACCTTATTTCAGTAGCTGAAAGGGAGAGATTTGGTAATTATAGCTTTCCTTTGTCACAACTCTATGTTGAAAACCTATGCCAGCAA